CACTTCAGGAGGGATGTGGACAGCATTGAGAGGGTCCAAAGGAGGGACACACTCATGATCTGGGGACAGCAGGGCAGACCCTACGAGGAGAGGCTACAGGACCTTAACCTGGTCAGTCTTCGCAAGAGAAGACTGAGGGGGGACCTGGTGGACGTCTATAAACTTATTGGGGGGGACCAGCGGGGATTGGGAGAGACCTTGAGTGCCTCCCGGAGTAACAAGGAATAACGGCCATAAGTTGTTAGAGAGTAGGTTTAGACTAGACATTAGAAGGTGCTACTTCACAGTCAGGGCGGCTAGGATCTGGAACCAACTTCCAAGGGAAGTGGTGCTGGCTCCTACCCTGGGGGTCTTTAAGAGGAGGCTTGATGTTTACCTAGCTGGGGTCATTTGAGCCCAGTTTTCTCTCCTGCCCAGGGCAGGGGGTTGGACTAGAAGATCTACAAAGTCCCTTCTAACCCTACATCTACGAATCTATGGACCTTAGGGAGACAGGGACCCTGGGTACCAACTGCACACCTGATTTGCTTTGGGGGAAGGAGAGGACATTCTCTCTAATCCCATGTTTCTCTGCCTGCAGCATAATGCAGAACCAGCTACATTCCACTACTAACAGGTGAAGATCAAAGTTAGATGGTCAAAGCTCCACCCGATCCTACATAACCCATCAGGCTAGCGCAGGTGAGACATGCTGGTTTCTGCAGCCAAAACCCCCTACAGAAAACAGGTGTTGGGCAAGTACCTTACCATTCTTCCCTGAAATGGACGGTAGCCTCGTTTCCATCCGCCCCTTGTAGATGTGTCCGTCTAGGCCCAGGATATCTACCTCGTCACGCTGCAGAGGAAATGCAAAGATGGAAAAGATAATGGTGCCTGTGGTTAATGTCAGCATTGTAGGGGGGGAATGGATTGGTTTCCAAATGCCTCCTTCTTTAAATGAGGAGCAGTGAAACTCCCTGAAAACAGGCTGGGTGGGATGGACAAGGGGGAATATTCTTCTCTGGGGTCATTCACCTAACATCCTCCATAAAGCATGACTGTGGGGTTCTCTATAGACAAGTGACTGGGTGAGAACATCACAGTCTGAGGATCCTAGTCAGCTGCAGTCAGAACTCCTAGTCATTCAGAGCCAGCTCTAGGTACCTCTACCTCATGCTGGAGTCTGCGGTGTACACATACCTGTAGCAACTTTGTATCTGATCCAATCATTTTATATGCAAATCAGTGGCTGCTTTAACCACTAGCCCAGCAAACTTATCCAGGGATCTAAGAGTCAAGTTGGGTTCTTTCCAGCTCAATCAGTTCCTCCATCAGAACTCAGCAAACTGTCGAGCTGATGATACGCGAGACAAAAATAGAATTCAGCTCGTGCGACTGGGGCTGCGCTGGCTCCATGGGACGAACAGGAGTAACATCCTGTTTCTGTTGCTATCATCAGCAGATCTGACTCTGCACACATCCAGAGGGCAGATCTGCTGAGGAAGCAGGGGCTGTGTTTATACAGTCACTTTCCAGAGCAGGGCTCTACACTTAAAAAAGCCTCATCCTCCATGTATGCATGCTCTTCACAGCAGTACCTTTGTACTGAGAAACAGGGTGATGTACCCTGCCTTGGTTCTAAACAACACCTAGTCTGCTTATAGGAGTACCACCAGCCACCATCCCAGACAAAATGTAATGGTGTGCATGGGTCTGTGGAAGGAGGGGTGTTGTTCTGGACACATGCATGTGTGCCTGTGTTAGAGATCACTTCAGAGCAGGTACTCCATAAGCACCACCTGAAATGTACTTTATAGACTGCCCTTCCCTTCTGATAAGCTAATAAAGTCCAGGGAGTTATTTTGGATTTACTGAAGCTAAGACCCAGGGTATGTTTTTTCCAAAGGTAACTACATCCAACTGATTTTCAGGGGTGGAGATGACAACATCAATTTACTTTCAGAAGCATCTAAGGGAGTTCGGAGCCAGTGAGTCCAGACAGATTGCTTCAGCCTTGCTTTCCTCTTCTAGCTACTTCTAACATTGGGCCTGCCTTTCAAGTCCAGGGCTGAAACCTCTGTAGGCGGCAGGAAGAGCAGAAAGGAAACTGCTCATGGCAGATGCCAGGAAGCGGGCACTACTAGGACATCATGCAGGAGCCCTTAGGACTGACGGGGCGCGCTCTCGTGTCTCTTTTGGAACAGGAGACTAGCACATATGGTATTTCCCTCTCAGTCTCTCTCTGTCCCAGTCCTTGCAGGGAATTGTGGGTGTGGAAATGGGCTGTTGTTAAGATCATCAGCTCAGGGATCTGTCTCCCACAGCCTGGGAGCAGGGTGGTCATGCTAGTAAGGGCAAAGTCTCTCGAGAAGCAGCAGTGTACAAGCTCAGCAAGGACAGCTGAAGCAAGGGCCACAGCAGGCAGGCTGGGCTTTTGGCAAGCTGATTCATGTGGTAAGGAAGCACCGGCAGGAAAAAGGGGGTTGCAGAGAGGTATTGCAGGGATAATGCTGTATTAAGCCACCGCTGTTTCTGGCTGCTCTCCCCACCGCCGTGGTCACTGTTACCTTCATCACTGCCAGCATAGTTGTCTCCCCTGGGTGCCCTGGCATGCAATGGGCAATCTGCTGCAGCCGTGTGTAACGCCTGTAGGGGTAGGTGATGGTGTGGCTGGCGC